ATTACAGCGGAAATTATTTCCTCTCCTCAGATTGCAAAATTCCCCATCGAATGCAGAATCCGTGAGGCGCTAAGCGATAGACGAGGCGACGTGACGGGCGTTCCAATTGTGAAAATGACTTCTTCCCGAGAGCGCCGCGGCCGGGGAAAGGCGAGTGCATGGATGTGCAATGGGAGGAAAATCGACTCACAAGTACTCTTCGCCCATTTAATTAATTCTACCCACAGAATTTTTCTCATTCAACCCGCCTCAATTCACGCGACTGGGCAGCAATCTTGCCCACCATCGCAGATGCGACGCTCCATGTCGCCGGATATCCGCCGCAGAGCTTCGCCACTGTCACGAGCTTCCCCCAGACAGATGTCTGGAAGTCGGGCGATGAGTGTGAAAAGGGAGGAAGTCGCAGGACAATTCAGTGGTCAACATTGTGTCACATTCGAGCAGAGGTCGCAGGTCACATTCAGCCCCAGAATCCCGCACAGCAAATGCTCGCTGCCACAGTTGGACTACAATTCATTCGCATGACACATGCATTATCCGCAACTGTTTGCCTTGGGGTTACACGGGATTCGCCGGTCTTATCGCGAAATTGCGAAAAGTCTGCTCGAGAAGGTATTCGCCATGGAATGCGCTTCTGTGAAATATTTCACACATTTTTCCCCGCACTTTCCACACAGCATTGACGCCTGAATTGAAGGGTCAAAAGGGGATGAACACCCCCGGAATCATTACCTTAAGCACTGTGGAATTGTGTCAAATTTGTTAGAAACGCAATTGAAGCTTCAAATACAGCGTATTTGATTGAATATTGTCAATAAAAATGCGATTCGAGCAGTGAAAATGTGAGTAAAAAATTAATTTCACTTCAATTTAAGAAAGTTTTAGGAATTGGAAGTGATAAAATCTTTGGAATATTTACATTGCTAAAGCTTCTGTTTCAACAAATTGGAGAATTTTCTAATTTTTGGTCTAAAAAATCGAATTTTTTCTTTTATACTTGCTTTTCTAAGTTATTTGATTGCTTTAAAACCTTCAAAACAGATTCTGTGTGATTAAACAACCCTCAAAATCTTCAAATTTGTATTAAAGCTAGAAATATTCTTGTTTTTCTCAGTCCAGTTGAGCATTTATGTGCAAGAAAGCTTCAGATTGCTTCAAGTTTAGAGATAAGAAACAGCTTGAAAGTCAATCATAACCTCAAAAATGTCATTTCAGTCTCTGTTTGTGCTTCAAAATGCCAAATTCAACCTGAATTTCTCATAGAAACATTGTGATATTCGCTATATTTACTCATTTCCAGGGTTGAAAGAATCACAGTTTGGTTAAACTTCTTCTGAAATCTGATTCTCGATATTTGATTAAATTTATCTGTTGATCAAAATGACTGGAAATTGCGACGCCACTGCTTGGCGACCTGTTGCGAATGAATGGAAATTTTTCAACAGGTTTTCCCACCTTAGAAACCCTAACGCCGGTGGACTTGTTCAGCAAAAGTTTGTGTGCACTTTGCGAGTTGTGCTCCGGCAAGGTTACCGCAGAGGTCGATTTACGATGATGAGGACAAATGATTAAATAAGGTGAAGTCGAATGACCTCTCAGCACGTCTAGATTGGTCCTGTGGAGTCAAAGGAGCAGCGCACATGCCATTATCTCTGCCAATTACAGCACTCTTCACTCCGTGAAATGACTTGTAGGGTCATAAATATGTATTATAGATAAGGGTGGTGTAAAAATTAGTGCTGCTCGTCTCGCTAGTCACCCTTGCGAGTGGATATCAAAATTAGTTTTAATATTTTATCACACACTCTCGCAGCTCCGTATAAAACTAGAACCATCAGTCCTGCGGCGAGGAGAATGCCAAGAGCACAAGAGGAGTCAGAAGCACGCCACTCTCTTCGCCCATTGTTTTCGCAGTCGCCTGGCAATCGCACTATCTCGCAATTTGCTAAGAAATTTATCAAATTACTTCCTCCACCAGCCATTGTTCAATTTTTCGCCCGAGATTCGCTGACTAGTCCAGACTTTGTGCTCATTGTGCCAATTCAATTGCCAAGAGCGCCACACTCACTTGATTGTGCGCTTCTCTGTTGACGCTCCGCGTCGTGGAGTGTAAAAATGTCCCATATTGTTGTTCATAGGGCAGAAATAGTTGACATGGCTCAGCGGCAACTTTCGCCCCCGACACCCCCCAATGCACAATGGGTCGCAACGAGAAACGTGCCCGGAGTGCTTCATCCGGCTTACATTCATACATTACCGATGTTTGTTCACCCCCAGAAAAGTTATGATGAAGGGCTTTCCCAGATCCGAATTCCACCAGCAACTCGCCTGCGAATGCCTCGCCAGATGAATTCCGAGAGGGAAACTATATGAGCCACTCGTGAGAGCCTCAGAACACATTCTTCGGCCGCCGCCGGAGTTGAGCAATTGCACGCAAAGGCGGAGCCAAGGGGGAGATAATACGACTAAACTGCGTACACCACAATTCCGTGGAGAATCACAGACACTTCCAGAACTCTGACACTGCTTAAAACATTCATTTTCCTTACTTTCTTCACCTTTTCCGGAACTTTAAAGAATTTTTTCAACCGTCTAAAGTATCATAACCTCAAATTTACTTGTATGACCCAGAAAAAACTTACTGAGAAATTAGTTTTTAAGAAATATTTAAAGTTTCTAGTCTATATATAGATGTTATTGAATTTTCAATCCTTCCTTTGGATGCAATTTGGATCATAACCTAAAAATTATCTTAAGATATTTGAAAAAATTCTTGAAATAATCTTTTTCGAAACGTTTCATGATCTTTTATAATTCGACAATGAGTTGAAATTTGCTCCTTTAGAGTAGAAATACAATCAAAATCACTTAAAATAGGCTATTTTGGATCCTGAAACCGTATTTAAAACACTTTAACATTGAAATAAGCTTAAATGCAAGATTAAAAAAATGATTTTGGAGGTTGTTTTGTGGCAAAGTTTCTCCTTAAAATAATCACATAACTTTAAACGATCTAAAGAACCCTTATTTTTAATGAAAATGTGAGGTTAAAAATCGGTTAAAAATATTTTAGGGAGAAATTGGAGTAAAATATATAATTTTTTGTAGTTTATTTGATCACAAACGCTCAACTTTGCTAAGGAATATTATAGTTATTCCAATTAAAGTGGCATAAATTAGCGTTCTCCAGTGTTATTTTATCACTAAATTTTGCTTAATAACTCTTTAGCGACACTTAAAGACCTAAGAATTGCAAAATTTCAAGCACTTCCACTCCTCAAATACTTCAACTGAGCTGCACACAGCTTCTAATCATGATATCTCCCCCTTGGGCAAAGCTCTGTCGACGCCGAAGCTCAGTCCTCCGCACGTGCAGGCATTAGGCGAAAGCTCGTGAGGATATAAAGCTGGGGAGATGATTCATTACACCTCTCCGCAGATCGGGATGCTGTACAAGAGTCCAAGCAGCATTAATTGCAGCCCAGAAACTCCGCTGAGTGGAGGTGAATGTGCGTTAAGTTTTCCCTTTTCTTGTGTGCGAAATTCTCTGTGCAAGTGTATGATTTATGACTTCCAATAATTGCAATTGTGGTCATGTTCGATATGTTTTAAACTCACAATCCCAACCAATCCTCAGTGGACTCACGACCCGCAGCAGAAGTTATTGTTAACTATATTGGTGTCTCTGAATTATAGATTTATTTCCAAGCGGAAAATAACTTCAAAATGGTGAATTATCGGAATTATCAGTTGCAAAGCGTGGAAGGAATATTGAATGTTCTGCGTCAGAAATTGCGCAATCAATTCCGTTCTTCTGGATTCCAATTAATATTCAATGCTTTTTTATGCTGAGAAATTGAATTTTTTTTTATTCTTAATTCAAATATGTTTCACTTGAATTTTTGGGCAATTGATATCGACGGGTGCCTCGAAAACTATGAAAAGCCAAAAATGTAATTTCTCAGCAGAGCATTTTCAAGATTTCGCTTCAATATTGCTGCAAAATTTGCCAAATTTATCTTAAAAAGCCTTCAAATCGTCCGTTAAAGTGTAAATATTGCAAAGTATTCTTTATTTTTTAAATATCTTAGTTTATTTTATCAGTATTTTTTGTAATTTTTGACTAAAATATGGTGAAATTAATGGAAAATCTGAAAAGTTTTATTTTTCAAAGTGTCTTTTTATTAGTCTTCGAATCGATTTTATCCAAACAAGCTCTAAAAACCAACTTTTCATACTTTACTTGAACTTTTTCCTTAATGTTTTCAAGTGAAAAAATTTAAAAGATATGAGAAATATTCATTTAAAGTCTTGAAAAACATTTTAGAATAATTCTGAACATCTATAATTATGTTCTGAAAAGGTGTTTTATGCGTTTCACTGCAATTTTTGAGACATTTTTCCTGGGGGAAAAATTGTTCAGCGTAAACAATGAAAAATCGACTTTTCATTCGCAAAACATGACAATTTTTTTCCATTTGTGCTTTTTTAGATGAAAAGGATTTTTTTTGCTATTTTCTCATAAGATACAAATCTCAAAATTTTTGTACAGGAAGAACAAATAAAAAGCTTTTTAAAAATTCATAAGACGTAAACGTTTCGAGACATCCGTCGATATGAAAATTATCATTTGCACTTTCTCACGGTTCTCATTAGATTTGTTTCCGCAAATCCAGTGATGAATTTATGCCTGCGGGTGAAATCCTTCATTTTTCCTCAGCGCCGCAAAAGAGGGAAAAGCTCACGTCACGTGTGAAGGATTTATTCAGTTTCTGACACTGTGCTGGGGTGAAGAGTGACTTTTCCAATGCACGCAAACTGTCGCGAGCTTCGGGGGGTGCCAAAGCACCCCCGCGAGGCGACTGTTGACATTCACACTGTATTTTATGCCCCCAACATTTTATATGTGCGACGGTAAAAGTTGCGATCACACGTGCGCGCTGAAAAACCACGGGAAATCATTCATGAACTCCGGCGAGCGCTAATTCATATCTCCTGTTTTGTATCTGCACGCGAATGGCTTCGTGCTAATTGAATTTGCTGGTAGAAAAAAGAAAAAAGTTCGAAACATGGGACACGGCATTTCCTCAGCGCGCGGGCCCTTGTCCAGTCCACAATGGAAACATCTTCCGGGAAAATGTCTGCACCGGGCATTTTTCCACTTAATTAGTATCACTTGCAGACATGGCGCGCATTTCTGTGTGTGTGTGTTTGGGGCACCTTTTTGCGCGCGTATCGCGGCGCTATTTGGTATGCGCTCGACCTCTTCACCCACTTGAAAACGCAATTCCAATTACACTAATTACACACATGCTCTTGTGTGCTCGGTATTAATTAGATTCCACGTCTAATTATGCCAATTATGAGTGTTTTAGGGACGCCACAAGGGAAATGCCGGAGCTTTTGTGTGCCACCCAGAGAGAGACTCACTGTGTGGGATTCTTTTGAAGAAAGGTTTGAAAAATGAAACAAAGTGGTTTTTTTTTTCTACTGAGAGAAACAATATACGAAAATGTTTATAGTCTAGCTAAGTTACAGTAGTTGTCCTTAAAACATTATATATAATTGAAGAAGTTGCATGACAAATGGTGCAAACATCACCAGTTGAATGTCTCCTTAATCGCCCACATTCGACCTTTCACCTCGCCCACATAAATTCTCATAGTTCATCCATAAATTAAGCACAAATTGTCCAATTCCGCTGATGCTGCAAAACACACACACGCACGCAATCACACACACACGAGTCGGAGTTGAGGCAAGAGTCCTCAAAGTTGGGGCTGCAAGTTTACAAAAGACACTTTAGTGGCTATTCGCGAGGATGATCAGCCCTTCTTGAACTTCAGCAGGAGGATGCTGAAGGTGAGGAAGACGAAGATCCACACCAGCACCGTGATGAAGCCCAGATAGACTGTCATCTCGTCCATTCCCCAGCCCTTCTGCAGGATGTGGCGCAGCGACTCCGTGGGATAGGTGAGCGGGAGCAGGTAGGCCACCTGCTTGAGGCCCGTGGTCATGCCCTCGATGGGCCAGATGATGCCGCACAGCATGACGATGGGCAGGAAGCTGCCCAGCGCCATGTACGTGGCCGTGCGCTCCGTGTCGCACGCGCACGACACCACGAAGCCGAAGCACATGCCGCACAGGCCATTGAGGATGACCAGGAGGATCACGAGGCCCACCTGGCCGTTCAGCGTGAGGTCGAAGAGCGTGAAGGCGAACAGGATGACGAGCAGCGTCTGGCCGGCCATGATGATGAACTGCGTCGACACGTGGGAGAAGAGGATTTCCACGCCGGTGATGCCGGACACCAAGTAGCGCTCCAGCATGCCCTCGTTGCGCTCTATCAGCATAGCGCCCGACGTGAGTGCCACCGACAGGAAAAATATGATTCTGCGGAGCAAAGAGGGCAAATGTCGCATCAGCAAGGGTGTTTCGCTCGAGCTTCCGCGCGGGGTTCGTCGGATGGAGAATAGCGCGGAATTCTCCACAATGACGAACCCCTCGGACGCTGTGAATAACAATGGGGCAGAGAGATATTACGTTAGAATGACTCCAGGTGCGGCAAAGTCGGTGAAATCGGGATCCTTTGTGCCGAACACGGGCTGGTGGAAGTTAATGGGCACGAGTCCGAGGCTGGGATTCAGGTCGCATGACTTGAGGACGTCCTGGATGAAGTCGAAAAATGCATACTGAATGTCACGGTAGATCATATGGCCGATTTGCTGGTCTGCAAGGAGAAACGCTCATTATTCCGCCTTTCCGGCTGGCGCCAGATGCGACTCACTTGACATGTCCATGGTGACGGACACCGTGGAGGCGTCGAGGATCTCGTCCGGGGCGTAGCGGCCGTCCGACATGCGCTCCACCAGCGACTCGGAGAAGTTGGACGGGAAGCTGAGCGCGCCCCACGCCTTGCCGCGGCGCACGGAGTCCTCGGCCTCGGAGTCGGAGCCGTAGATCTTGACGATGAAGCGGCGGTCGTTGAGGTACTTGATGTAGCGACAGCTGAGCAGCGAGTCGTTGCAGCCGGAGATGATGGGGCAGTCCAGCGACTCGATGTTGTGGGCGGAGAGCTCCTTGTTGGAGATGGCAAGCATGAGGTCGCGCGGGTCCTTGCCGATGGCATAGCAGAAGAGGATGATCTGCACGAGTGGCAGGCCGATGATGAACGCCATGATGCCCACGTTGCGCCACATCCACAGGAAGTTCTTCCACATCAGCGTCTTCATGTGGTGCGCCTTGAAGAACTTGAAGTTGTCCAGGAAGGAGTGCGGCGGGATCTCGACCTCTGGCACGCGCATGCTGATGGGATCCGGCGTCACCACGTCCCGGCCGCGCGACGACATGGAGATGTTGTCGCCGAACTCGCCGGAGATCTCGCACTTGTCCTCGTCCGAGATGTCCAGGGCGGGATTGGTGATGGCGGGCAGTGGGATCTGCTGCACGACCTCCTGCGCGATGGAGGAGCGCCGCCGCTTGCCCATGTTCTGCATCACGGCGAGCTTGAGGAACACGTCCTCCAGCGACTGGCAATTGTACTGCTGCAGCAGATTGTCCGGCGACTCCTCGGCCAGCAGCTTGCCGCCGCGCATCAGGCCGATGAGGTGCGCCTGGCGCGTCTCCTCGATGTAGTGCGTCGTAATGATCACAGTCTTTTGTCCCATGCGCGTGATCTCCACCAGATGGTCCCAGATGTTCTGCCGTATCAGCGGATCCACGCCCACCGTGGGCTCGTCCAGGATCAGCAGCTCCGGGTCGTGCAGCAGCGTGGCCGCCAGGCTGGTGCGCCTCTGCTGGCCGCCGCTCAGGTTCTTCACGAAGCTGGAGTGGTGCGGCAGCTGCAGCAGCTTGATCAGGAAGTCCATCCGCTCGTCGATGGCCTTCGTCGTCATCCCGTTCACCCAGCCGAAGAACGTGAACGTCTCGCGCAGCGTGAATTCACCGTAGAGAGCCAATTCCTGCGGCATGTACGCCACGCGCGGCCCCGGCACGCCCGACCCGCGTGAGCCCGGATGGCCGCCCACCACCCACAGCTCGCCCGAGTTCAGGCGCCGCCGCCCCACGAGGCAGGACAAGAGAGTCGTCTTCCCACAGCCGGAGGCGCCCAGCAGGCCGTAACTGCAGAAGAGATTGTTAACATTATTAATAATTAATTACACGTAATTAACGTTTTTGGCGCTCTGATGAATATTCTGATTTGCATTGGATCATATTTCGTCTGCCCACATCTTCCAGCAGACTTCTTATCCGATTAAGACGAAAGTGAACAAATGGTTGTTTTTGCCAACTTTAATGTAAATCAGCACTTTTTGTACATTTCTTACTTAAAGCACTCAGAAAATGCCATTTTGCTGGATTTTCAAGAGCGAAACCGACACACAGAACACATTAACTTTTGTCAAACGAAGTCTTTGTCTATTTTCGATAGACATTTTTCAATATTTCCAGACAAGGGGAAGATAATATACCTTAAAAATGTGCACAACTTCGTAACACTTTCAGTACTTGAAATTTTTAGGGTGTTTTCACACAAATTTAACCTTTTCATTCGATATTTCTGCAAAAATCGACTAAAAACTGGTTTTTCTGGGCGTTTTTTCGATCATAACCTAAAAATATTGCAAAGAAATCACTAAAAATTCAGTTTGAAAGCTTTCTAGATCACAAAATTATCTGTTATGATTTGTCAATGAACATAGGAATGTTGATTCAGAGTTAAATCGTCCAGATAAGTTTAGAAAATCAACAATTTCCAAGTCCAAATGAATCTTTTTGAGGTTATGTTCCACCTTAGTGGGATTTGCAGTGTTTCTTGGCATCAAATATTCAGAAAAGCATTGATTATCGCATGCAAATGCTTAATTGAACTTGAGCAAAAGAATTGATGAGCTAAAATGCGAATTATTTACTATAAATCTGCCATTGATTCGTTACATAACCTAGAAAAAGGATTATTTTGATTGCTTTTACGCAAAAATCAAAGGAAATCCATAGAATCTGGATGATTTGTCAGTGGAAATGAATATTGTAAGTTTTTCAACACTCACGCTGAGTTGTACACCACTTTTGACTACATTATCTCCCTTGTTTCCACATAATCTTTTCATATGTAAATGATGTACATATTAAAATACATTTTCTACCGCTGAAAGACGCAACGAAGACAGTGAGTTGAGATGACAATGGGGAAAAGTACGGTCGGAAAATTTTTTTCCAATAATAAATGCAACCTTGAAGGTCTCTGTTGACGCTTCGTGAGCATTTTGTAATAATGCCAGCGCATCGGCAATTACCAATTTCAACGATTATGTGCAGGCAAAGCGGGGAAATTCCAAATTGCACGGAGAATGTGGCATTGTTCGTGTGTCATAAAGACGCAGAGATTCTCGCTAAGCCTCATTTCATGTGTGTCTCCGTGCTTATTGGAAAGGCACACGGACATGACTGGCAATTGACTGGTGAGCGCACTTGAGATTCTAATGCTAATGCGTCAGCCAATCCACAAATATTGACGCGCATTCCACCCACAAAGTGTCCATTATCACAACCGCGGAAACGGAGAATCACTCTCTTGTGCATTATGTGAGCTTCTGCACAAAAATTCACACACGCACGTCACGTTTGAAGGCGGAGGAGAATGAAAGCGTGAAGTGTAATTCACAAAACCTTCCAAGTCTTAACTTCTTACTTCAGCAACTTCAGTTCCGACTACACACAATTGTCTGGGCTGCCGCATAATGGCAATATTTCCCAATTTGTCCGTCACACCACGAAAAGAACCTGAGAATGTCTGACTGCGGAAATGCGAAGTGAGGCAATTTTCCCATCACCCACATTTTTCCCACCCGCGAGATGCAAATCGACGGACACTTCATGGGCAAAGATTCAATCGTCGCCCTTGAAGGGGCTCTCAAAGTGTCCAAAGAGCCATAAATTGTCATAATAAAATTGCAATTAAGTGTGCAGAAATTTTTGCTAAATTGTCAGGGACTCAGTGATGTTATTGTTGTTGATAAATTGAATTTGCACATTCGACAAAATAGGCTGAGTTATTTTAGTTGTCGCATAAATTTGTTAATAAACCATCCGATTTTTGTGCTTGCAAAAGAAACACGCGAAAAGACTTCCCACTTGTCTTCTCTACCCAATTTAATATTGTGATAATTCCTTGTAGTTGAAGTGTTAATAGAATATTGGAGGCTTGACAATAAAACTTGATAATGTCCAAAGCCAATATTGAATATTTCCCCAAGTGTGATTATTTCAGATCAAATATTTTTGCAACACAATTTTTATTGTTTCTGAAAGTGCGTGTAATTGGCAAAAACAATAAATAGATGAAATGCTGTTTTAATTATAGCGTCCAGTTGAAATTGTGTAATAAAAATTGTCAATTTCGCATTTAATTTGTACAATTAATTTAACGTTGTTTTTTTCCAGTCGCTGCAATTTTATTTTCCTCGTTTCCCCAATTTGTATATATTAACTGATGGCATTCCAGTCACTTTGGGGCTACTCACATGGTTCCCTTGGGCACTGTCATGTTGAGTGAGTCCAATATCACGTTGGGGTTCTTCTTGGGGCCGTAATTCTTGCACGCGCGCCGCACGCACACGGCCTGCAGGCGCCGCGTGGCCACTGTGGACGGCTGCGACATGAACTGGCGCCGCCTGGCCGCCCAGCCGTCGTCCTCCTGCCTGCTCCCGCCGGCCGGCGGGATGCCCTCAGCCTCGGCGTCCATCATCTCGCGCGAGAGCTGCAAAACAGCAAACATTTGCCATCACAAATCGCGTCACAAGTCGCTTCATTAGCCAAGGGAGGATAATATGGCTGAAATCTGTACACCACAATTTCTGTGAAGAGTCACAGACACTTCCAGAGCAACAGCAGTGCTTAAAATATGCATTCAGAGATTTTTCCACTCGTCTAAAATATCAGAACCTCAAATTTAAGACTCTTTTCTTGAGAAAAACCGTAATTTTTACCTCTATTGCCCTAAAATTTGCAGAAAAACAGTAATTTAAACATATTTGAAGTTTCCAGAGGAGTTTTTTTTAAGTTATTTAATTTTCAATTGCAATAATCTAAAAGAATCTGTGAAAAAAAACCAATGAGCGGAAATTTGCGATTTTAGAGTAGAAAATGAATCAAACAGCTCTCAAAATAGACATTTTCGTACATTGAAACAGTATTTGTGAGGTTATGATCAATTTTAGCATAATTAACACAGTTTTGAATTGAAAGCTTTTGATTTTCAACAGATTTTATTAGTATTGCGTCAGAAAATGCAAAAAATACGAACTTAGGCGCAAGAATGAATGATTTTAAACGTTATTTAGTGGTAAAATTTGTCTTAAATTCACAACATAACCTAGAAAAATACAAAGAACGCATCATATTTGGATATTCAAGCGCTTCCAAATACTCCCATTGAGCTGTACACCACTTCAGACCATATTAACTCTCCCTTGGTCATTAGGCGACACAGAAATCGCTGCGCAATCGATCCCAATCACCTGCCCGAACATGCGACTCTACAGAGACTCTCATCTAATGCCGATAAACAATCGTGGGAGGAAAAATTCTCATTGTCCATGAATTAATGGGGAATTGCTGTGCAATTTGCCCATATAAGATAATTTGGCAATTCATCGCGAGATATAAATTCACGCGATTGCATAAGCCGATCATCGATTCAATGACATCTGCGGGACATTAAATCGCCATTTCTACACTCGCTCTCACTCAGTGGCTCAAGATCACATTATTACATGTGAGATGTGAGGAAAAAAATAACATTTTGTGCACTATTTACATACATTTACTCACAACATTTCACACATCGCAGCGCAGCTTGTGAAATATTGGCATGTGTGTTTGAGTGATTGGATAATTGTGGCTTTGGCAATAGATTTGACCCACTGAAAACTGACCTATCGGGTCAGGATGACCCTTTGCAGGACCACAAATCGCTTATGACATTCAATTGCTCGGCCTTCGGGCTACTTCACGCTTAATTTCTTCACAGCCTTTGAGGTGAGAAAGTTCACAATGTCATCGGAAATTGCTTTGCACTCTCAGTGGAAAAATCTCCGTGGTTTGCAAAGTCATTGCGTGCGCGCGCCCTTCAGGCCTGATTAGAATAAGTGTATTTAGCCAGTAAATTACACTCATCACTATTCAAATGCTGAGTGATCTTCTCAAAGCTTCCCCGTGAGCTTTGACTCACACACTTCATGACGCAAGGGCTTGAATTGCGGCAGCGGAGCTTTCAGCATAAATCACCGCGCGCGCGGAAGGTGAGTTGATGAATTTTTTCCCCATGACTCCCAGGACAAATATTGATCCAGTTGCTTGGCGGGTTTCTCAATTAACTCCCCGCGCATTCTTGAGAAGGGGAAACAAAATCCCCAACTCACGCAAGCTTTTCGGTCACTTCTTGCACAAACAAGTCCGCGATATTCGTTTTTATTGCACACTCATTGTAAAGGAAAACACACACGCGTGATTTTTTTTCCGCACATCTCACGAATCGCGCCATTGAAGAATTCGTCGTTTTCGAGCAAAACAAGATGCTTCTCCTGGATAAGGAATTGATAATTGCGGACTTTTAGACCCAGAAATAATCTCTTTGTTTTCAACTTGTCTCGCAGACGGAGCTCGTTAATGAGTGGACACGATAGAGATGATGATGTAAGCATTATAAAATGGACATTCTGCGGATTTTGAAGACACGCTGCGATACGATGTGTAACGCAATTTGGCGCTGTGCGTGTGTGTGAGCCTTAAAGTTCAATGACGAGAAAATTACAACATATCTCAACAGTTTTGTGGCGGAGGCAAAAAGAGGCAAAGCAAAGACCACGACGAAATCTTGGTGATTTTGCAATCATTAATTTGGTCTCTTTCGCCAGCGGGAAAAGAGGCGAAAATTGCCCAACTCACACACTCTGGCTTCAAAGGTGTTCAAAGGTGTTTTCAAAGTGTTGTGAAGAAGTCCAATTTAAATTGATTGCCTGGCATATTTTGTGTCATTTTTCCCCCACTACAAAACCACCCGATTGAGCAATTGAGTTCACAAAACAAACAAAGAATCAATTTCCTCATTCTTACTGGCAAAAAAAAATATGTCACACAATCACCTCAAAAGAGTTTCTTGATCGCGCACGCGGAAGGGATTTTTCTCTGGGAAATTGCACGAAAGCTCTGGATCTTCACTCACAAATAGCAGCACTTCTCTTGACTCTTTTATTTCCACTCTTGCGGGCGTCTTTGTCGCCCGAATCCACTTGAGGCACTTCTGAGACTGACTTTGCAATCCGCAGCCGAGGTGGAAGACAGCTCGAACCAATACACCAATACTCAGGTGATCGTGAACGCAAATCGCGCTGCGAAGTGTGGTGGAGGAAATAGTGACGCACCGTCTGTTGCTGCCAATGATCATACGTTGATTGTTGCAACACTGCGGCTTAGGAAATACTGAGAAGAAGCTTCGCCATGGCTTGAGCGAATGCAAATCCGGTGTGTCTGTTGAAAACTACAAGATAATCAGTCGCTCTTGTCTTGTGCAACTTTGGACTTTTCTCAGATTGTGACAAACTAATTTGCAACTGATACGGAAACCTCTAAACCAATCGCGTTTTTAGCCTCTGAATCACCAATCTCTTTGGTTATTTAGCGTGTCAATTTCGCGCTCTTGACTTTAAGTAATTTTAACAAATTCAGCAAATTCATACGAATTCAGCAGAGAAAACCTATGACGTTAAATTCCAGTTCATAAATCACCCGAAAGTCACTCAACAAGAAGAGCCTGAAAAATGCAACATCATTTCTCTCGCTGTTCTGCTTTTGCACACAAACAATTTTTTTTTCAAGTGGGAGAGACACTTAAAGACAACGCGAGATTCCAGCGGATTCTGAAGAACACTTCTTTATTTCGCGAAAGAGTTCACTTGAGGTTGTCCAGAACGCGCTGCGCGCGCGCGCGTGTGGTGAACTTGACATCGCACAACACAGAGACGCGCGGCGAGGCCCTGAGCAGGTGAGCGAGAGGCGGGAAAGCCAGTTTTCCTCAATGAAAGATTACTCACACCGCAGAGAGTTGATATTTCTGAGGCAAGGCCGCGTGATAGTTCGCCTTTTACGCATTCACCCAAGAAAGTTGGACTCGAAGCCCGCGCGCCACGTGAAGATCCAGCGATACGAAAGACTCCAGGCGACGAACCTCGATAAATCACCACGTGAGGCGAGCCATTGTTTTCTGAAGATGCACGACAATCTTTCCGCCTCCAATCGCGAAGAGGTGATGGTCAGCGCTCGCCATTGTTGCGCGCCGAGAGTGTAGAATTTCACTATCAACCAGTAATTAAGCCTCGTAAATCATTAATGACAATTAAATCGGACAATTACACACATCTCCACTAACAACCTCGCGTTTGGTTATTAATTGGGCAGCGGCCATTAAAGAGTCTGGGCTAAAAATAAATTAATTATTGACATTAAGCGACACGATTGCATGGAAAAACTCCGCGGCACGGCGGGTGTTTTGCGCCAAATTGGCCCGCCTTCGCCGCAATGTATTCAAATCAATGTGGAAGAGAGGCGCTCAGACTCGCTGTGGATTGTGTGGAACGCGTGTTTTAAATGAAATTCAAATTATAAACTCCAGTCAATGCAGCAGCAATTAACTTTTAATAGTTTTTCGCATACAAACTGTTGATCCACTCCGACAATGCAGTGCAATTTCCCATCATTTGCAAGTGACACAAGCCGGAATAATATTTAATAAAGTGCCAAATCATGGATATTTCAAAGAATATTATATCTTGCACGGATTCACTGTAAAAATGTGAGCAATAAATTAACTCTACGACATGACGTGCGTGTTGAGTGAGCAATCATATAGTTGGAATATTAATTATGATTCAATGAAGAGTTAATTGTTCATCGATCAAGAAAATATGTATGTAGAAAAAATAAATTCCCAGTTAAACCTGACCGCATGAATTAACGTTTGTTAGCGGTGAGACACTGACAGATTTCAAATCAATTCCATTTCAACGCTTTTATTCAAAGGTTTTCTTGTAATTCAAAGGGGAGACAAAATGACTCAAATCTGTACACCACTTCCTGACACTTCTGAACGTCTTTAATCGCTTTTTCCATTCCTTCAACTGTTTCTCAGACTCAGTTCTGACTTATCACATTCATAACCTCACAATTTTCCATCAGAAAATGCTTTGAAAAATTCTAACCAAATTGTGAGGTTATGAAATCGGCTTGAAAAAAGTTCTTGGACGAATTTTAAGTTTTTCAAGCCAGGAAATCAGTAAAAATAGTGAATCTCTAATTGTTTCTACCAGATAATGAGGTTAAATTTGCCATTTTAAAGCTCACACCGCAGAAATAACTGAACAAAGAAGCATTTTTCAGGTTACAATTGACATTTAAGCTTTTTCTAAATAAATATGAAGTTTTTTCGTTCAAAACTGCTCAATTCTGCCAAGAAAAAGAGAAATATTTGCAACTTAAATACAATTTTGATGATTTTGAGGGGTATTTAATCACCAAAATCTGTTCTAAATCAATCACATAACCTTAAAAAATGCAATGAAATTGATTTTTTAACCGAAATTAGTTAGGAAATTCCTCAATTTGTCGAAACAGAAGTTTTTGCAATGCATTATTCTAAATATTTTATCACTTTCAATTCCAAACACTTCCACAAAGTCTGTACACCACTTCAGGCCACAATCTCTGCCCCTTGTTGCTATTAATATAAATTAATTGTAAATATAATTAAGAAACCAAAAAGTTTCCATCTGCGTTGAGTGTGATTTGAATGTTTCCTTTTGCCTGTCTCACTGGGAACATAAGCGCTTTTCCTGGCCTGATTATGTAGCTTTCGGCTGTACCGACAAATCGATTTGAGAGAGAGAGAGAGCAGTGGAAATTCATTTGCGGTGCACCAAACCAACTCGTATCTCACAGGACCAACGACGATAATTACAGCCGAAATTTACTTTATAGGCACATTCTCCGTGCGCCCTCGATTAAATTATCAGCTTCCGAATTAAATAAAGCCATGCAATTGCCTGCAATAAAAAGCTTAATTCACAAATCACGCGTGGCATTTAATTGTAGGATGTCAAGCCGTGAATTCTGGGCATTTGCATGACTGGAATTCACTGTGATTTTCAATTGACTCGCGGTGTGGCGTTTTACGCGCGCTTTGCGACAATAGTTGAGTGATTGTCACGCTTCGGCGATGCTGACATATTTCAATTTCGCCTGGATGTTGTCTGTGAAAACAATAATATTTTCTAACGATCGCTTTCCCTGGGTAGCTGCCGAAATGGGGGCGGCGAAGCCACTCTCTTTGCTGTAATTACTCACACAGGAAGCGTGTGTGTGTGTGCGAAAAGCGAGTGAGCAATTTAATAAAGTTCCAACATGAACTTTCAAAGTACTTCAAAGCTCTCGAAGCTTCACACAAAATAAACATAATGGCTTAAGCAGGGGAAGTACAGCCCTCAGCATTCCGTATTGATCTTCATTTTAATGCGACAACTTCCGCTTTATATGAATTCGCTCTAAGATGATACATGGCGTAGGTAGCGAGTGATACTTTGTCTTGGAGAATATGCCAAGAGCCGCCCTCAAAGCTGGGAAGTTTATCTACTCTCTGCAGCTATGATAAATTGGATACATATATCGAGGAAGGCGTCCTTTGATCCACTCAAAGGAATATTCAGATTGAATTTCATGTGCATTTTGCCATGATTATCGATAAAAAACTCTCAATTATACCATTAGCATAAAAGTGCACAATTAATTTATTTAAACTACACAATTCATGCTTCAGCCACACAATAGCCTATCAATTCCCTGGTTGAGAGGCGGAAAGAGGTTCGTGTTTGATATATGCAGAGTGTAATTTAAATTATGGTGCAAAAGATTTCATCATAAATAAGAGGGAACATTGAAATAAAAAGAAATCATACAATATAACTCAGCTTTTATGGCATCAATCTTACTTTACGATGAGATTAACTTTTTATTTCCCCCCTTTTTTCTCATATATGAATGGAAACAAGTCAGAATTGCTGTTTTTCCACCATTGCCAGAGTGTGATGAGTGAGAGAGAGAAGAAACATGGGGAAACTTTGGGTGGAGTTGAAGCCACTTTTCATGGCGCACAGAGTCGTTAAAAAAATGTTTCACGCTTATAAAAGGATGCTTGAGTCAGAAATCAAACTTCTTAGACGTTGTGGGGTTTATAGCGGGGAAAAACATGACATTTTAGAGAGCCCTTCCAGTGATTATCTTCTAATAGAGGATGAGCTGAGCACAAGAAATCACCCTTCGTCCTTTTTTTTCTGCCCTCGTAGCGACATGAGGTCGTCGGTTGAATATTGCGCTGGCAACAAGACTTCACACTCCTTCACTTTCATTACGGAGTAGGTCGCTTGGCTGTGGGGGTGGTTTGAGGGGGTGGGGAAAGTTGATGAGAAAATGGAGACGAAAAGAGGGCTTTTTTTGCTCTCTCGCACACAACTGATGTTCCACTCTAACCCCAAAACGACACTGTGTCTCCTTTTCGGGAATGTAATCCTTTAATCACACCATTTATATGAACAATCCTTGACACAGGAACTTTTTTACGACCAACTTCAACTTCACTCAATTTACACGCTTCGCTGATTCTACGTGAGTCTTCCTTTAAATCCCCACACTTTGATATCCTGAGAAAGAAAGACAGAGAGAGAGAGAGAGAAGAAGGGATGCTGCGATGAGCTTTCCAACGGTGCTCGAGGTGTTGATGGAGCTTTTTTTCTTCCACGTGAGACGGCAAAAATCGTATATCGCAAACCCAAGCAATCTTTATCACACTCAGACAATCTCGCAGTGCATCTGAGAAATGGACAGAAATCGATTGTGTTCTCGGCAATTTTGACCTTCGCATGCTCAATAATTGTAAGTCTGCCGAGATGCTGATAAAACCAAATGTTCTCCCAGAGTTCAACGTGCAATCTGCAGCACAGAGGTAAACATGCACTCACAGCGACTGGAGGATTTTCCGCACAACCCCCGAGGCGTCCGTTGGAATGGAAAGCGCCTGGAGAGCTTGCTGGAGTGCCGCATAAAGCACAAAATCCACGGATGGGTGAATTTACTGGCAAATAAACGGGGAGTAGCTCGGCACATTAATTTTCCCCGATACTCCTTGATTAATCATCTCGCCCTGTGCTTCTTGCCGGAGATAATTTCGCTGGATAACACAGCAAATTGCCGGGCGAAGAGGCAAAAAGCGCCATTTCATCACTCAATAAAGTACGCCACGGAAAAAAGCGTTGACTTGGTCGGGTCGCGTGGCAAAAAGTGCACAAACGATCC